TTCTGCCTGGGATTCCAACCTCTGGAGCTTTTGCCGAAGTCCGGCAGATTCTTCCTTCTCAGCCTCCAATTGAGCTTGTAGCTCTTGCATCTGTGGTGTAACAGATTTTGGAGCGGCAACAGACTGCTGAAGTCCCACATTACGAAGGAATGTGCTTGACTTTGACAACACTTGGGCAACAATCTCTGTGCAAGTCTTTTTCTGCTCCCTTTCTTGTACTGGTCTTGTCAAAATGGCTTCCATATCATCCTAGCAAGACAATGATTTGTCAAGTTTGAATTTATTTATATGGTTAATTATGCAGTGTACTATAGAAAAAGGAGAGGTACTTACTGTAGCTTTCTTGGCATCATCACTTAAGCCCTTAGTTTTCTGCAATGCGTCAACTTGAATAGATCAATTGCAGTGGGCTCTGTATCTTTGTATTTTTCTTGCTTCTGAAATATTCACAAACATAGAATGACATTAGCAATGCACATGTTAAAATACACACGTAAGAGAAAAACATATTCCAACACATGCTGTCATACAACCACATGACATGATAGGTTTATTTTCTTACCGCGACATAGGCTGCTGCAATGTATGATCGAGATCCAGTACACTGCTGAAGCTTAACTTTTTCACGGTTCAGTTTGCTCTTTGCACATTTTTCCTAGACATGACACAATTGTGTAGCATAAGTAATAGAACAAATAATGGAACAGTAACAGCATAGGTAGACAACAAACTGTGCTGTGACCTATAGCACTAAATTCCTAGAAATAAACAGCAGCAGTAGCTGCTCGTATCCAAATCATCCCTAGATCCACAGCACAAAAAAAACTAATCCTAGAATCATCCTCAAATATGAAAATTGCATACAGTCATAGATGAACATAGTGATGTAGTCCTAACTTGATTAATATTGGCATGTTCCACCCTTTGGCATGTCAGCACACGTAGAAATTAATATTGGCATAAACCATACCTTGTGTTTTGGGTCTGACCACATGTCTACCAATTTTCTCCATTGTTCATCAGTCATAGATGAACATGGTGATGTAGTCCTAACTTGATTGGTCAGTACCCCATCGAAGTATCGCTTCTTGAGCCTATACCTCATTTGGTGTGTTCCACCCTTTAGCATGTCAGCACACGCAGAAGTTACATTCTCCTTTTCACCATTCATGCTGAATTTTATCTATACATTGAATAGCATAACATTAGTATTTAAAAATCCAAAAGACAGAATTAGCATAGATTGAACTAGTCAAACAACGTCTTACAGCTAGTTTGCCAACGAAGTTGTCCAATTGGTGTTCGTCCTTCTTGTATTCTTTCCAACTTGTAGATGTGGGTATATGCTGCCTGAGTATGATCCCACCCTCAGAAGCCAGCTTTGCAGCTTGCATAGGTGCCTCTGGCCTTCTTTTCCCTTCCTTTATAATAACCAGTATCCTAGTCCCTAAACCTCTGGTTATGCTATCCAGTTCTATGCCCATACTCCCCGTTGCTCCACTTGTGTACTTGTAGTTAGGGTGCCTAAATAATACATTTCAAAAACCTTATTGTCAATAATAAGATTCATGCGACCATTATGAATGAATCAGATCACATAAATTGACATTGAAATAAATAGTTGAAGGCACTTGCCTTCTTCAGCAATATCCATCCCTTCCTCATTCTGGATTGAAGTAGAATCTGGTACTGGTGGTGGCACCTCTGATGCTTCAACTAGGCTTAGGGAAGCTGCTTCTTTTTCTCTCACGACACTCTGCCTAGTGCACCTTGTTTGTTCCAAATTGTCAGGTGCCAGCACCCTCTTGGATGATGCTCCTCTTGCAGCAACATGTGGTGTCACAGCCTTACAAAGCAAACAGAGACATGACACCATAAGATACTGAGAGATTTCCACTTCAAAGGTACATACAAATACTGAGATTTCCATGAGTAGAAGAGTTGGTACCTCAAGTTCAGTCCTGTCACTATGCTGGCCATGATACTTCTTGTTTCTACTTGCTTTCTTCGTTGGACGTGACGACTGGCGCACGATTTCTGCTAGTCTTTTGACACCCAACGGTTGCATCCTCTCATTCATCCTCATGATATTCTGAGCCCTCTGCTTCTCAATCTCAGTTAACGGGGGTTCTGCAAATACATTGCAATCAGTGGCAGATAAATGTAAATGAATGAAATAAGCAAAAGTGCAAGTACTAGTGACAGATAAATGCAATCAGTGGCTGCTGCGAGCTTTCAGATAAAACACAGAGTAAAACAGAGGAAATTTAAGGCAGTCAGGCAAGTACTTAGAATTAGTAAAACAGATCACCTGACAAGAGTGGTGAAACAGAGAATTATAATTTGCCTGATTGGATGATTAATTTGCCGATAAGCAGGTAGGCGGGCATTAGGCACAGGATCTCCCAAGCTAATTGGTCTATTGCCTAAAAGCAGCAATTGGGGCCCCACTAATTTGGAGGCCATGTACAGACCAGGTCCAACAAATACAAGTCCACCAAACAAAAGGAGTTGCATCAATCTGGCCTGCCTGAGAATACCCACCCTCTACTCATCCGACTAGGCCAGTTCAGTCCAGGCAAACAAACTTTTGATTTCTTACTCCTGCCCCGCTCCCACGGTGCAACGTCTCTTGTTTGATTCTCATGTTCCTACCGAGCCACGCCGAGTTGGGATTGTGTTTAATAGGATGTACAGATGGATATGATAACCTTGCATCTAGAATATGGTAGCGTTACCCCTTCTTTCTCTTTTTGGCATTCCGTCGAGCACTTGCATGGTGCCGGCTTGTGGAGAAGAAGGGCTCATGAACTGGCAGAGAAGAAGGGCCTGCCGACTTCGGACCTGCTCGCGGCGGCTAAGCAGGGCGCGACGGCGTGGGCGCGAAGCGGCCCCGGATGTCGGACCTGCTCACGAAGAAGAAGGGCTCGCGAACCTACAGAGAAGAAGGGCCCGTCGGTGTCCGACCCTGCTCACAGCGGCTGAGCAGGGCGTGGCGTGGCATGGGCGTGAAGCAGCGCCGGACGTCGCGCGCCGCCTTGCCCTCACTGAGCAGAAGCGCGAGCTCACCGAGTCCCAGCACAAGCGGCGCGAGCGCGAAGCGAAGCGGTGCCGATGTTGGTGACGAAGGACCGGGCCTCCGTCGTGTCCCAGGAGACGGAGACGAAAGGGAGCGGTGGGTGAGACCGTTTGCGCTTCACCCAGCCGGGAGGTGACTGGACGCAGGTAGGCGGGGACTGCACCGCACGAATCCAAAATGAAACCAGTGGACACGGGGCGCACATGATCCTCCCACAGTCCCACCCTCCCTCACCGCAAGCTAGATCCGTGGCTCAAGATCCTATCTAGAACCGTACCACCATAACCCTAAGGATGAAGATCCAAGAAGTACCTGGGACCTCCATTGATGTTCTAGCCGTCTTCTTCCCCAGAGGCATCTTCCTTCTCGTCGAAGCGACAACAGGAAGGAGGGAGTGGCGGCCGCCGCCGGTCGAGAGTGAGCTGAAATTTGGGAAAGGGGAGTGATTCTAGGGTTACCTTTGTATATATATATATATGTGGTGTATTGGTTGGCTTTGTGCAAAAATGAGGTGGCGGCATAGCTGGTAGGGGCAGGAATGACTTTATCCATAAAAAACAGTGGCGCGCTGGGCTAGTTTGGCTCGCACGGGTTAGCGGGAAACCCTTTTAATTTTTCATTTCTACTATTTGTTGGACATATATAATTTATTAGAGATAATATTCATACATTTGCGGGTGCTTAAAATTTTGTAAGATGGAAATAAAGTGGTCTAAAATTGAAGACAAATTCGGTACTTGTTGAGACGCAGAATAAATTTCTACAATAAGTATTTAATCATGAATAATGAATGCCATAATTTTTGTTTTCACATTGCATTATATTACTTTATTGACATTAGTGGGTGCTTAATAGGCATAATATATCAGGACAGTGACAAAACTTGGTGCTTAATCCCTATGTATAATATAGTGTGTTGTTATATACTCCATGGTAGTAGAGGTGATAATGGGCTATAACCCCCTCTTATCCCCTGAGTTGTCCTAATACATCATACCCTTTGGTCATGCACGCTACGCCTCCATGGTCATGTACCCTTGTTTCAGTGTCTTAATACGTGTCTTTGTGACATTAGCGTGCTTGCCTAATACATGTTAAGATTATGTATGCATGTCTCCACACACATTTCACCGATAGTAGAACATCAGATAAGTTTAGTATGAACACGTACCGGTGTTTATTAGTAAACTTATTATCCGATGTTCCTATACTATCGGTGAAATGTTGTATGGGTGTAGTGTGGATGATGACTTCATAGACTTCAACTCATAGTATATAGATGTTTGTCATCATTTTCCACTTCATTCACATTCCACAAGTGCCGATGCGAAATTTTTTGAACAACTTTCCAGGGTTCACCATGCTTGTTATCATCCAAGTAGAAAACCTTTGTTGCCTGTGTGGCAAGGATGAGAGCATCATCCTTGTACCAACAACTGCCATGGCTGATGCTTTTGAAATATCCATCATTCTTCATCCTAGACTTCTTGCTATAGGTATCAAACCAATCACACTTGAATAACACCACTATCCTTTGACTGTTGGTGTCAGAGTTGTACTGCAACTCTATTACTTCTTTCAGCTGACCATAAAAGTCTATATCTTCTCCATTATGTGACCCCTCAACCATGACTCCACTATTCTGTGTTCTTCTACTGCTCTCACGGTCCACGGTGTGATATCGGACACCATCAACAATACATCCTGAAAATATACGAAGTCTAAGATCTGGTAGACTTGCCAATGCATATAGTTCTTCATTGATTTGTTCTCCATTCACAAACCTTCGGGTAGCAAGCTGCAGTAAAAAAAATATTAGCAAGGTTTCCTAAACTGAAAATACTTAAATAATGACATATTATCTCACAGCCAAAACTGAAAATAATTACTCACATGTTTCCTAAACCATCCTAGAAATTCCTTAGCAAGGTCCCCCAACATCACGATTGCCAGCAGTCTCTAACTCATTCCTATAAATCCTGCAAATAGGTGCACAATTCCGATGTGAGAGCTAAAATTTTATATGATAGACAAATTAAAACATTATGTTGCTTGCATTGAAGGACATACTCTATAAATGGCTCGACCTCCGTAGTATTGTTGAGGACATACCAAACCATCCTGTCATAATCCTTCTCATCATATGTAAGCCTCGGTGCCCCCAACATATTTGCTCCATGCTGGAAAATAGATAAACCACATGTACTCATTGGAACACGCTCTCTGTTCCTGCCCTCATGATTGTGCCTAGTGTCAACATCATCAAAATACCTTGAGCAAGCATTCAAGCACTCATTTGCGACATATGCCTCTGCAATGGAGCCCTCAGGCCTTGCCATGTTCCTCATAAAACATTTCAAGGTCAACAACCTATGTTCTACAGGGTACATCCATCCGTATTGAACTGGACCTCTTAGGATAGCATCATCGATTAAATGAATGGACAAGTGCACCATCACTTCAAAATCTTCTCAAGCTTGCACAATATTATTGGGATTTCACCTCTCATCCTGTTCAAGACATCTAACTTCAATTTCTTAGCACAATTTTGCTGGAAAAAGTTACCTAATTCAGCAATTGCTTCATATATTTCCTTATGCATGATTCCTCGGAGACCGGCTGGTAATATCCTTTGTAGAAGGATATGGCAATCGTGAGTTTTCAATGCTTGTAATTTGCATTCATCAACACTAACACACCTTGCTAAGTTGGAGGCATATCCATCTGGGAATTTGACATTCTTTATGAAAGCACAGAAAGCACTTATCTGGGCTTTAGTCATCTTATATGGAGCGTGTGGAACATAGTATGAATTACCATCATCCTTCAATTGTAAATTTTTCCTTATGCCCATATCTTCTAAATCGAGCCTCGCAATAATAGAGTCCTTTGACTTGCCTGCGATGTCAAGAAATGTACCGAGAAGGGCCTCACATATATTTTTCTCGATGTGCATTACATCAAGATTGTGATGTAGCTTCAAAGTAGACCAATATGGTAAATCCCACAGAGTTGACCTGCGCTTCCAGCATTGACCTTCTTCTACCCTCTTTCTCTTTTTGTTATTAGGATGGTCCCCAGGTTTTACATGTTCCACCGTTGCCAATTGCTGCATCAACTCATCCTGAGTAAATTCTTCAGGCTGTGCACGTTCTTCAGTCTGACCATCAAAATCTTTCTTTCTCCAAATATGGTCCGCTGGAAGAAAATGACGATGGCCAATGTAGCAAATCTTGTTCATAAGTCTTTTGGAGCAAGGATTTTTATCACAGCAAACACAAGCATAGTAACCTCTAGTTATTCTACCTGAAAGTGTGCTCAATGCCGGATAATCATGAATGCACCAGATGACTACAGCGTGAAGATCAAATTCTTTTCCGGTCAATGCATCCAAAGTAGGGACACCACTCCAGAGATTTAACAATTCTTCAACCAGTGGCTATAGGAAGAGATCCATATCCTTTCCTGGGCATGCTGGACCAGGAATAAGTAGGCACATCATGAAGTTGGATTGCTCCATACATTGCCATGGAGGAAAGTTGTAAGGGATAAGAAATACTGGCCACATGCTATATGAGGAGTTCATCTTCCTGAATGGATTAAACCCATCGGTAGCGAGGCCAAGTCGGACATTCCGTGCATCATTTGCAAACCATTCATACTTCCTATCAAAATCCTTCCATGCCTCACCATCAGTAGGATGGCTAAGCTCATTGTCCACTGCTTTCCTCTTCAACTTGTGCCATTATGCCTGAGCTGAAAGTTCTTTGGATCCAAACATCCTCTTCAACCTTGGAATCAAAGGAAAATGCCTTAGAACCTTTTCTGGAATCTGCCTTTGGCCATCTCCATCCTTCCATCTTGAAGCACCACATATTGGGCATGCATCCTTTTTAGCCAACTCCTTTCGGAAAAGAACACAGTTATTCGGACACACATGTATTGACTCATATCCAAGTCCTAATGCACGAATAACATTCTTCGCTTCAGCATAGGATGCAGGGATAGAACAATCTGGAAATGCTGAACTTAATAAGTCTAAAAAAGCACTTAATCCAACATTGCTGATTCTGTAAAATGACTTGATGTGGAGCAACTTCACCACAAAAGAAAACCTAGTATAGGGACCACCGGGGTGTAGCACCTGTTTCATCTCTTCTAATATGGTGGCAAACTTTGACTTTGTTCTTGGTCCATGATTTTGATCCGGGTACAGATCCTGTACCATACGGTATATTTGATCATCTTCTGGGTCATCTTGAGGCTCATCTTTTAGGACATCTTCATTCAAATGCTCAACATTGCAGCCAATATCTTCATTCAAATGCTCAACATTTTTAGTTATCATGCACATGGTTCTCCATGATGTATCCACCTAGTGTATGTGCTAGACATCCCATAAATAAGTAAGTGATCCTCCACATCTCCTTTATGTCGATTTAACCGAATCAAACACTTACGACATGGGCATAATATCTCCTGATTGCCACTCAAATTTTTTGAAACAAAGTCCATGAACTCAGTGACCCCATCCAGATGCTCCGTGCTAAACAACCTATATTTCATCCAAGTTCTGCCCATCTGCGACACATTGAAATAAGACAAGCAAGGAATCAACAAGTGATCATTGCCCAGACTGCTATTTGCCTATTTCTATCACTTCAAATCTCTGGTTTCAGTTATAACCTATGGTTTCAATTTGAAATATAAAACCAAAACATAAGTTCATCTCATATGTACCTTTCCTTCCTAATCGAAGGGGATGGGGCAGTCTCTGGTCGACCTCACCCGCGCGTGGCAGTGATCCTAGGCTGGAGCTCCTGGGGGCGTTCCTAGCATTTCAGCTCATGAAGCCCGGTGGCCTGGAGCTACAGAGCTGGGCGTCGAGCTCCTGGAGGTGGGGTCGGGCTAATGACCTCGGCGTCGGGGTCCTGCCTCCGGCGGCAGCCTCCTATCGGCGGTGCCGGGCTACTGCCGGTGGCGTCGGGCTACTGATGGTGTCCCCAGCGGTTGTGCTCGTGAAGCCTGGCGGCTGGAGCTGCAGCCAGCTAGCTAGCGTCGACCTCCTAGGGTGGGGTCGGCCAGTGGCATGGGATCTTGACGGAGGCGGCGTCCTCTAGCAGGCGGCGTTGGGCAAAGGGCGGCGGCGTCGAGCTCCTACTATGGAAGGACGATAGAGGAAAACTATGCCATAGCCAGATGCGCGTCGGGCTCCTGCTATGGAATAGTGTCTCCCAGGGATGGAAAATGTACAAAGAAAAAAGAATCAGAGCATATGCAACAATAGGCGAGTATCTCAGTGGTTCTTCCATTGCCTGGGAAGCCAGAGGGTGCGGATTCGATCCTTCCTCACTACGGGAAGCTCCTAATATTTAATTTTAATTGTTTTATAGTTAATATTTACCTTACATGTGGATCCCACCAGTCCACCTAGGCATGGCTATGCCAAAGTGTTTTTTATGATTTTTAATTTATGACCATCACATTCCATCAATTTCGTCATGAACTATTGTCATAAAGATAGGGAAAAATGGTTTTTAATTTATGACCATCACATTCCATCACTTTCGTCATGAACTATTGTCACAAAGATTGGGAAAGGCACATGGTGATGGTTGTTTATGACTAAATCACAACTTAGTCACAAACACTTGTCATCCAAAGAAAAATTGTCATAAACGCATGGTTTCTATGACTAAAAAGTGATTTGTCATATGAAAATTGCCATAGAAGGTCTAATCTCTTGTAGTGCCTGCAGGCAAATTCATTGCAACCCATCCCCACAAGAGATAAATAAGCACATAATGAAAGTAGTAAACTAAGATACTCTCCATATATACATCATAGATATATATACTTCGGTATCCATAGCTACCCAACAGATATACTCACAATTAAGTACCTTCATATATACATGTGTGTAACATGTAAATATTTCAGTAACCACAGCTAACTCTCCCCTAGACCGACAGTTGGACGGTCATGCTCTCACAACTCACACTTACCTAAGCGTAGAGGAAATTGATCCATACATTACGATTCAAGCGAATGGCATCCATACAATAGCACGTCGTATGGACGACGAAAGTAAAAACCCCCAAGTTAGTACTTAGATAGCCACCTAATAGTATTTAACTGGGCATAAAGGAGGATGTCGCTAGCATAGTTTTGCAAATTAGTTTTGACAAATTTGCTTGTAGCTAAAGTTTTAGTCAAAATAGGTTTTCTAAAACCAAAACTTAGCTTTTAAAACTATATACATGATAGTATTATGTTTAATCTTGCTCTGATGCCAACTGTGATAGAATCGCCCAATTTATACAAGATCAAGTACGGATGTCCCCGCTAACACGTTAACACGCGCATACTTTCACTTATATAAACCCGGTAGTCCACCGAGTATCACGAAGGACCTCGGTAAATCAACATCATAACCAAGATCGAGGGATTAAGCAAATACACATCACATATACAGAGTTACAGCGGAAATAATATTACAAATAGGTTCACAAATAATAGTACAAGTTTGGGTTTCAAAACCGATTAGTGAAACCAACATAGCTTTTGAATGATTACATTAATATAAGTTCCAAATACATTGCTAGCATAAGTGACATCCCTTGACAAAAGCATATAGATGAGAAATAAATATAGAGTCACCGAGCCCACTGACGGTTAGCCACCATCTTCAGCAGACCGAGAACTTTACTTGCAACATGGTGGGATAAACCCTGAGTACTCAAATGTACTCAGCTAGACTTACCCATCATAAACCATAAATAAATTGACATCAAGGAGTATGCAAGGTTTATAGGTGGATCTAGCTTGACAATATTTTGCATAAAAGCCAAGAGTTGAGCTATACATTTTACAATTCAGTACCAAAGTTAATTATAGCTATTCATCTCTAGATTAGCAACTAACCTGTGCCAAACATGTGGAATATCATTTAGTAACAGGCAATAGTAACCATAGTCGGTATAATGTTGTAACATCATCATCATCATTATAACCATCAAGTTCAATTAAGTGTCTCTACGTTGCCGCTGCTCAGTCAAGTTCTCACTATCCGAGAGAGATGATGATTTGAATCAATTCCTACCCAGCTGGGGAATTATTTCTAACACAAACCCAATCAACCTGATCAGTGGTTGCCTCGGGTGATCTTTGATACAACTCAGGAACAAATTCATGGGTCCACGCAGCGTCGCACTCTCAGGGAGTCCACTCTGCTAGGAGGTCCATCTCTCCTTCAGACTTACGCCAATGGCTCCCCGCACATCCTTAGTACCGCCAAAGTACGCACGTTCACTTCTCGGCTTCCGACCTGAGTTGAGCT